AAAAACATTTTCCTCTAGGAAAAGTAAATCACTCATGTCGGCTCCTCATAGAAAGATTCGTCAAGATATAATGATGCTTTAACCAATCAAGCTCAACTATGGTGGTCACATAATCAAACATACACAACAAATGCCAACTTCATTAACAATCAACAACCAAGCAAGAATGTTATGCATGGAACAATTCCTCACCTAGAATAGTGTTTCACTCAACTCAAAGGTGTATTATAGTGAGGTGACACTCTTACACTCTACTATCACAATGTTACATGAATCAACTTTTCCTTTCATTTAAACACATCAAACACACTTACAAGAAAGTTATCATCACAAGGACTTTTTCTAGGCTTGTAACATGGTCGGGCTAAGAAGAAAATTGGTTTTTCTAGACAACAAAATTCATTGAGTTGAGAGAGTGAATAATTTACTTCATTTTCATTAACAACAATCTCTCTTTCTCCTTTTATGTGAGAAACTAATCTTGAACTCATTCTCAATTTTACTTTCATTGAGCTTAATTTATTCTTTTCTTTCTTTTATTTTTCTTTTGTTCAATGCTCTTTTATAGATTTTCCAGAGTTCTTTACGGTTCCCCACAACCCCAAACTTGAAACATTATCCATTACCATATAAACATGCTCTACTCAACTCAAAGCAAGGATTTCAAAAGGGTTTTTCATATTTAGGCTCAAGGTTCAAAGGATAGAACAAACATTGTTCTTTGTTGGGTTCAAATTGTGGCTTTGGCTTATATGGGATAAGAACAAATGGCCTTGATAATGTGTAACAAGCAAGCAAGTGGTTCAATCATATAAAATCAAGCAAAATCAATCATGCTTACAAAGCAATAACATTCAATCAATCAAAGATTCTGGAGTCCAACCTCTCATAGGCTAACTCAAGTTCCACAATTTGATAAACATCCTGCCTAGCATATCAATCACAATTGAAATCATGCATTTGTTTCTACACAACTATGAGCAACCACCATCTATGCTTGAAAGCTAAACCAATCATCATCTCAATCATGCATCATAGAACAATAGAGCAAACACAAAAATATTACTCATCATAAACAGTTTATCACATCATACCAAACCATTGCAGCATAATTCATTAAACCAAGTACATAAGCAAGCTAAAATAAAAACAAAATTCAAATAAGCATAAAATAAAGCAAAAATATAAAAATCTTTCCACCAACATCCATCAGTAGATGCTATCATCTTAATCATCCTAGCATCCATCAGTAGATGCTATCATCTGAGTCCTCCTAGCATCCCTCAGTAGATGTTGTCCAACATCCATCAGTAGATGTTGTCATTACTGCAAAGCAAAATCAAATCCAAACCACACAAATAATCAATTAAAAAGAAAAATTCAGAAACTGGGTTGCCTCAATAAGCGTTTGTTTAACGTCACGAGCCTGACGCCATTATGCTCAGTTTGAAGCTTTGATGTTGGTGTTGCTCTTGTTTTCATCACACCAACTTTTCTTCAGCAGCTTCCTGTCCACCTTCTTGACTCTTCTAGAATATGGAGCTTATATCTCAATAACTCTATTCACTTTAATCTCCTTCACAACCCATAACCTGTTCCTGTACTTGACTGGTTTGCCAGGTTTGAATTCTTCACCATCACACTCCAAGTCTTAGTGAACTATCTTCTTCTTGATCACTTTCTCCTCTTCCTCTACTTGTGACAAGAAATAATTTTTATCTCCCTTGATTGAGTCAACAACTTGTTTAGATACACTAGTCTTTGACAAATTTTCATCTGTAACTTTAAGAGTAGTTTTCTTCACTTGAATCGACTGCTCATCATTGAAGACATTGAAAGTCATCTCCTCATCTTGATCTCTCAGTGTTAACACTCCATCATCTACATCAATGACCACCTTAGCTGTCTTCATAAATGGTCTTCCAAGAATGAGCGAGATTTCCACATTTTCCCTCATCTCCATCACCATAAAGTCTACAGGGAATTTCAGTTTATCAATTTGAACCACTAAATCTTCCACTACAGTGTGGGGTTTCTTGGTAGACCTATCCGTCATTTGTAATACCATCTTTGTGGATTTGACCTCAAGACCACCAATCTTCTTTATTATAGATAGAGACATTAAATTAATGCTAGCCCCTAAATCAATTAGAGTTTTTCCTACATCATAGTTCCCCATAGTGCAAGGAATAGTAAAACTTTCCGGATCTTTGACTTTAGGAGGAAGCGTCTTATGTAGAATAACACTATAACTGCCATGTACTTCAATTTTTTCCTCATCTAAATATTTCTTCTTTTTGAGGAACTTCTTCATAAAGTTTTCATAACCATGGATTTGGTGCGATGCCTCAGTCAATGGAATAGTAATCCCTAATTTCTTAAAAACATCCTTGACATATCCTAATTGTCTCTCTTTTTCCTTTCTTGAATACTCTTTAAGATAAGGAAGAATTTTCTCTATTTTTCTCTCTCTTCTCTCGCCCTCTTCTTCCTTTTTTCTTTCTCCCTTTTCTTTCTTCCTTTCTTTCCTCTCAACCTCACTTTTTCTATCTTCAATTTCTTCTTCCTTTTTCTTAACACATATCAAGTAATAAAAAAATGGTAAAATCAAGTATCGTTTCCCAAAGGACTCACAACCTAGACAATTATGTGATTTATTAATTACTTTAGACTTGTGAATCAAAACATTGTTGTTGAATTACTGAAAATAAACATGAATGCAAGGTTTTGATCAATTGAATTGAAAGATGCAAAAATGGTTGATGTAGAATATGAATGATTATGTTGTTGGGCTTGTCGGATTCATCCTATCCACTCTCATGTATTCAAGAATTCATCTTTCCTCATTAATGTTAATGCCACTTTCTAATTTACCTTAAACCCGAAGTCTCGGTGAAGAAAGCCTACTCCTAATCACTAGTTTACAATGTCTTGTCTCCCTAGCAATTATTCATGCATTACATTCTCACAGAAGCTTAAAGGCAACCAATCCTCCTATCCCTATGTCTAGGTAATATTGCTTTTGGGAGAATTTCTTCAGTTCTAGATTTACTTATATGTGTCCATACAAATAACATCAATGATCATGCAATTGAATGAGTTAAACAAAGCATGCATAGAGTATAGAAGAAAAACCCAAACAATTAATGAAAGAAAGCATATAAATTAAAGAATGAATTCAATACATGAGAGTTTCAAAGGATTACATCGGTTCCCCAACAACAAACATGGTGAAACTAGATAAAAAACAATGAAAGAATGAAAGATAGAATCCTATAAGTTGAAGAATAGAGCTTGAGCATCCAAAATCCTCCTCCAAGGGGTGAAGGAAGTGTGATTTGTGCCTCTTTCTGTCCAAAGATATCAACCCTAGGTCAACTAAAACCTTATATAGTATTCTAAAAATTATAGAAAATTGGCCCAAAGCCCAATAAGATGGCGCTCAGTGGTAATTAGCGCTTAGTGGTAAGTGCGGTTCTTCTATTTTGACGCTCAGCTACAGTTTTGGCCCTCAGTGGTAGTTGCGGTGCTTCAGAATGCCGCTCAGTGGTAAAAGTGGTGTTGAGCGGTACTTGCAACTCTTCTCTTGTGCACTTTTTCTTTCTTTTTTGAATCCAACTTATTGCTAATTCAATTCTTTCATTCAAGTCATAAAGGTTGTTTTTGATGTCAAAATTAAGTATAAAAATAACGGTTTTTCAACTGTTATCACAACCTCAAACTTAGAACTTTGCTTGTCCTCAAGCAAACAAGATGTAACTTAGTCTTCCACCAATCAATACAATGGTTCACCACATTCAAACTCTTTCTTTCAAGACAAGTAATTACTCAAATAAGCTCAACACAAAGAATTCAGTCAAGATGCACAAATGCTTTAGTGTTCACATAATCACATAATATCCAACAAATGTTATTCTCATGAATGATCAATTAACTAAGCAGAGATGTAATCATGTGCTCATGGAATTTTTCCTCACCAGAAAAAGTGTTTCACTCAAACACACAAGTGTATAAGAGGTCACTCATTCACTCTACTATCACAATGTCACATGAATTAACTTTGCCTTTCATTTAACCACAATCAAAACACTGACAAGAAAGCATCACCACCAGGACTTTTCTATGGCTTATAATGTGGCTGGGCTAAGAAGAAAATTTGGGTTTTCTGGATCACAAAATCCTTGAGTTAAGAGAGTCATCACTTAAACACAATCATTCTTACTTATTCCCAACTTTCCTTTGCATTGAGCTTTTCTTTTCTTTTCTTTTCTTTCCTTTTTCTCTTTCTTTTCACGTGCTTCACACTTAGCTCAATGCTTGTTATTTTTCCTTTTTAGACTTCCCAACAACCCTAAACTTGAACCTTTATCAATAACACAAATAAAATTCTCAACTCAACTCAAGGTAAAGATTTTCACAAAGGGTTTTCACATCATGTTCAAGGCTAGAGGTTCAAAGGGTAGAACACATTGTGCTCTCTTTTAGTAGGCTAAAATCATGCATTTGGCTAAAAAGGGTTAACAACAAATGACCTTGATCATATGACACATACAAGCAAGCGATTCAATCATAGAAACCTGGATAAAGTCATTCATGCTTTCAAAGTAATAACATTCATTCACCAAAAACTCTGGAGTTCAAAACCTCACATATAAGCTCATTCAACATTCCACATATTCTAGATACACATCCTGCTTAGCATCAGAATCACAATCACAACATCATGCATTTGTTCACATAGCTTGTGAACCACCACCATTCTATTAGCATATAGTGCACAATCTCAACATCAATCAATATCCAAGCATCATCAAGCAATACTTATCATGCATAAATCACAAGCAAACAATCATAACAGATAAAGTTTCACACTGAGTACATCACACCCTATTCTACTAACAGAAGCAAATAAGAAAATGAGTTTAGAACACTGGGGTGCCGCCCAATAAGCGCTTGTTTAACGTCACGAGCCTGACCCAATAAGCTCAAGGATCAACCAACTACATCACTGTGGACAAGCGTTCCACTTCTCCTCCCAGATAATGCTTGAGACGTTGTCCATTCACTACCCAGCTTCTCTGTGGATCACCAGCAACCAGATCAACCAATTCAATTGCTCCATGTTGACGCACACCTTTCAACTTTCTAGGAAAAAGCTTCAATCTTGAATTGAACAATAACACTTGTTGTCCTGGAGTAAAGACTTTTTTTTATCAACTTCCTGTCATGATAAAATCTTACCTTCTCTTTGTACTTTCTGCATGAATCATATGCACGCAACCGCATTTCTTCAAGCTCCAGCATCTACCTTCTGCGCTTGTTCTGAGTTTCATGAGGATCAAAATTCAAAAATTTAAGAGCCCACAAAGCTTTATGCTCCGTCTCCATTGGCAAATGACATGCTTTCCTACAGACTAACTGAAAAGGTGATAAACCCATAGATGTGTTCATTGCCATCCTATATGCCCAAAGAGCATCATCCAGTTTCTATGACCAATCCTTTCTTGATGAAGCAACTGTTTTCTCCAAGATCCTCTTTATCTATCTGTTAGACACTTTAGCTTGCCCATTAGTCTATGGATGATAAGGTGCAACTACCTTGTGTCTCACACCATAATGTTTGAGTACTTTTTCCAGCTGATAATTACAAAAATGAGATCCTCCATCACTAATAAGTGCTCTTGGAGTTCCAAAACGTGAGAAGATCTGCCTCTTTAGAAATTTAATCACAGTGCTGGCATCATTTTTAGGAAACGCCAATGCTTCCACCCATTTACTCACATAATCCACTGCCACCAATATGTATTCATTGTTGAAAGATGGTGGAAAAGGTCCTACAAAATCAATACCCCAACAATCAAAGACTTGTACCTCTAAAATGCCCTGTAATGGCATCTCATGACGTCTTGAAATAGTCTCAGTTCTTTGACACTTATCACAATTTCTGGCATGGTTATGAGTATCTTTAAACAATGTAGGCCAATAAAATCCTGACTGGAGAACTTTTGTTGTTGTTCTTTCTCCATTGAAATGTCTCCCATAAGGTGAGTCATGACAATGCCAGAGAATTCCTTCTGCTTCTTCATTTGTCACACACCGCCTCAGAAGATTATCTACTCCAATTTTGAACAAGTAAGGATCATCCCAAATAAACTGCTTGGCATAATGTAAAATTTTTTTTCTTTGTTGCCAATTAAGATCATATGGGAGTACTCCTACAGCTTTGAAATTAGCCATATCAGCAAATCATGACCTTTGTTGGATGTACATGAGTGTTTCATCTGAGAAAGATTCCCAAATTTCAACTTCCTTGCTTGTAACTTCATTGTTATTCAACCTAGATAAGTGATCAGTAGTCAAATTCTCACTCCCCTTTTTTGTAACTTGTAATAGAAGCACCCATCTAATCAAACGTGGCTTAAAATCCGGATTTGTCAACAAATATTTGATGGCTGCATGGTCCGTATAGATAATCACCTTAGACCCAATGAGATAAGGTCTAAATTTCTCCAAAGCATAAACTATGGCCATAAACTCCTTCTCAGTAGTAGCATAATTCATTTGGGCATCATTCAGAACTTTGCTAGCACAATAGATTGTATGAAATACCTTCTCTTTTCTCTGACCAAGCACAACTCCTATTGCATAATCACTAGCATCACACATTAGTTCAAAATTTTGATTCCAATCTGGAGCTACAATCACTGGACTTGAAACCAATTTGCTTTTCAAGATGTTAAAGGCTTTTAAACAATCTTCATCCATCACAAAGGGTACATCTTTAACAAGCAAATTACTCAATGACTTAGCAATTTTTGAGAAGTCTTTGGTGAATCTTCTATAAAATCTAGCATGGCCTAAAAAACTTCTGATTCCCTTCACATATTTTGGTGGAGGGTGTTTCTCAATGACCTCTACTTTGGCTTTATCCCCTTCAATCCCCTTAGCAGAAATCTTGTGACCCAACACAATTCCTTCTGTTACCATGAAATGACATTTCTCCCAGTTAAGCACAAGATTCGTTTGAACACATCTCTTGAGGAAAATATCCAGATTCGCCAAACACCTTTGGAAAGAATCTCCAAACACTGAAAAATCATCCATGAAGACTTCAATACACTTCTCTTTGAGATCAAAAAAAATTTCTTGCATGCACCTTTGAAACGTAGCTGGGGAATTACATAACCCAAATGGCATCTTTCTGTAAGCAAATACACCAAAAGGACATGTGAATGCCATCTTCTCTTGATCTTTTGGGTCTACCACAATTTGATTGTACCCAGAGTATCCATCCAGAAAGCAATAAAAAGCCTAACCTGCCAACGTTTCCAACATTTGATCCATAAAGAGAAGGTCAAAATGATCCTTCCTAGTAGCCTTATTCAACTTCCTGTAATCAATGCACATTCACCATCCAGTAACAGTCCTAGTAGGAATAAGTTCATTCTTCTCATTGTAGATTACTGTCATCCCACCTTTCTTGGGCACTACCTGTACTGGACTCACCCATTCACTGTCAGAAATTGGATATATGATGTCAGCTTCCAGAAGCTTCAATACTTCTTTTCTCACAAATTCCTTCATCAAAGGATTTAACCTCCTTTGTGGTTGAGCCACTGGTCTATAATCATCCGCCATAAAAATTTTGTGCATGCAGTAAGTTGGGCTTATACCTTTGAGATCTGAGATTGACCACCCAATAACTTCTTTGTTGACTTTCAAAATTTCAATGAGCTTCTTTTCTTCTTCAGGGAGCAAAGAATTACTAATGATGACTGGTTTTATTCCATCTTCTTCTAAGAAAACATATTTCAAATGTGATGGCAACATTTTTAACTCCAGCTTCTTTTCTTTAATTTCTTCTTTGGTGTCAATTTTTCAAAATTGGCCTCCTCCACTGGAATTTCCTTTAACGTCTCCAAATCCGTTAAACACTCATCAATTAATTTCTCTTCCTCTTCATTCAAATAATCACATGCATCAACAAGAGTTCTTTCTAATGGAGAAGAGAAACGCACCATCGTCTCTTGCACCATACAAACTTCATCAAGCATATCAAACTGGAAACATGCTTTATCATCCCTAGGGTGTGTCATGGCTTTGAATACATCAAAATTCACTTCTTCATCTTGCACTCTCACTTTAAGCTTTCCATTCTCCACATCAATTAAAACTCTAGTTGTTTTCCTAAATGGTCTCCCCAAGATAATATGCACATCTCCATTCTCCTCCATCTCCATTATAACAAAATCCATTGGAAATACAAATTTGTCAACCTTTACCAGGACATCTTCAACCACCCCATACGGATATTTAAGAGACCTGTCCCCCAATTGAAGCGCCATTCTAGTAGGTTTAGGTTCCAAACCCTCAATTCTTTTGAATATGGAAAGCGACATTAAATTAATGTTACCTCCCAAATCAATCAACGCCCTTCCAACTTTCAATTCTCCTATGGTCCATGGAATAGTGAAGCTTCCTAGATCTTTAAACTTAGGAGGTAACTTTTGTATGGTTGCACTGAGTTGCCTTGCACTTCAATGGTCTCCTTCTCAATGTATTTTCTTTTCTTTGTAAGGAGTTCCTTCAAAAATTTTGCATATGATGACCTCTATTGTATTGCTTCAGAGAAAGGTATGGTAATCTCTAGTTTTTTAAACATCTCCATGAACCGCTCCAGCTGTTTTTCTTTCTCCTTCCTTGAATAAATTTTTGGATAAGGAAGTGGTTTTTCAAAATCTCTTTCTTTTTTTCTCTCGTGTATCTCTTCTTTCTCCCTTTCTTTTTTTTCTCTCATCTACCTCTTCTCTCTTTTTTCCTTTCTCAACCCTCTCTTTCTCACTCTCATTTTCTTTCTCTTTTCTCTCTTCTAACACTTTGACACTTATAGTAAGAATGGTCTTACACTCTTCCCTGAGATTACTTTTTGCATTCCTCTCACAACTCTCCATCTTACTAACCAAGTGCCTAATATGCATTTTCATACTTTTAAATGCAACCTCCACATTCTTATAATAAGATACATTCATCTTCATGAATTGCTGGAAAGTTTCCTCAAGCTTTGTAGTTTTTCCAGATGGAGTAGGTTGTGGTTGCCATCTTTGTTGTTGCCATTGAACCAATGAAGCATTATGTATCTCTTGTGGTAATCGAGAAAGTTTCTTTGTCACTTCGTCCAACTGTTGAGTGATAATTTTATTCTAAGCAAGCAAGGCATCATAAGATTGCAATTGTAAAACTCCCTTCTATTGAGGTGGAGCTTCGTTCATTATGCATCTCATTGTCATTAGTAGCCATATTTTCAATCAACTCAGTGGCTTCCTCTATAGTCTTGTATTTAATATTACCTCCAGCTGAGGCATCTAGCATCAATTTGGTTTGTGACCCAAGACCTCCAAGGAAAAGAAGGACTATTATTGCTTCATCAAAGCCATGCGTGGGCGTTTTTCTCAACAAGCTCTTGTATCTATCCCATGCTTGACCTAGCGTCTCCTCCATGCCTTGTCTAAAAGAAGAAATCTCTTGCTTCCCTTTGTTGATTTTGGACTGTGGTAAGTACTTGTTTAAGAACTTTGAAACCACGACTTCCCATTCAGTAAAGCTATCCTTTGGGAAAGAATTCAACCATAGCTTGGCATTGCCTCCCAATGAGAAAGGAAACAAACTAAGCTTTATACTGTTGGGAGAATTCCCCAGATCGTGATTTGTAAGATATCTCTCAATAACAATCCTAGGGAGAGAAGAGGAAAGTTGTCACATCCCCAAATCGTCCAACCCTAGGAGTACGAAATCTGCTGATACTTACAAATCATAAGATTTATGCCATACATGAATAAAAAATCACAAGCATTTGAGCAAAGAAGAATATCTCTAATAATTAATGAAAGAAAGCATGTATCTTAAAGAAGATCTTGAAGAAAAAATTCAATACATGAGAGTTTACAAAGGTTACATCTTTCCCAACAACAATAAGGTTTAACAATCCATCGTCATGGAAAAACTAGATGAATAATGGAATGAAAGAATGAAAGAGATAGAAAAACCCGAGAAAGAGAAGAGGAGAGTCGTCACCATCTCCAAATCTACCCCCAAGGGGTGAAAAGTGTAATTCTATGCTTAAGCCATCAAAAGATACTAACCTTAAGACGTGCAAGTCCTTAAATAGAACATAAAAATAACAGAAACCAGGTCCAAGCCCATAAAATTTACAGAAAAATGGCCCAAGGCCCATAAAAACGCCGCTCAACGGTAAGTGCGGGTCTTCAATTTTGCCCCTCAGCTGCTGTTTTTGCCCCTCAACAGTGATTTCGGCCCCTGAAAACTGGCGCTCAGCGGAAATTACCGCTCAGCGCCACTCGGCGCAACTTTTTCTGCACCCTGGTTGACTTTTCTGCATTCTGGTTGACTGGTTGACTTTTCTGGTTTTTGGTTGACTTTTCTGCATTCCAACCATTCGG